AATAGCTCCTTTCATCAGTTTTTTCCCTACTATTGATGCTTTCGTATTTTGTTTAAAATTTTTTTATTTTGAAGTTATAAAAAAGTCTATATTTTCTTCTTATAGATTTGTTGTCTTTCACAAACAGATTTCTAATTTTCCTGGAATAATGAATGAGAGCTTAGATTTACTTTTTTCCTTGATATGATATAATTCTTTCATCTCTATTTTTAAAATAGATTTTTCTCTACACTTCTCTGCTCTGCGTCTTTGTCGGAAGTCATTGGACTCACTGTCACGTCTGTTTGGGTCTATGTCTTTGTTTCTGTACCATCTTGTTCTTCATACAGGGAATTTTAGCTTTCTTGGCTCTTTTTCTTTACATAAAACATGTTAGATTAAGCTTGTGAAGTTCCACAGGAGAAATTTTTGTGGCATTTGGGGGCTGACATTATGATTACTTTACATCTATAGATCAATTTCAGGAGAATTTACATCTTTACATTATTGAGTCTTCTATGTCATACAATAATTTGTTAATGTAGATCCGTTTAAGTATTTTTCAATGTAGTTTTGTTATTTTCTCCACAACAGTCTTGTACATATTTTATTGGATTGATTCCTAAGTATCTTGCAATTTCATGAAATGATAGACTTAAGTTTTTGTTATTGATAGTATAGCCAAATACAATTGAATTGCACTGATTGAATCTAGAAATCCTGTTAAGTCTAATAAAACAAATTTCATGTGCATTCTTATATGCCATCACATCATTTGTGAATAATTATATTTTTGTTTCTTCTTTTCCAACTTTTGTATTTTTCCAGGGTCTCAGTTCAATAATGCATGGAGTAAAATATGTTTTATTCCTAATGTCAAAGGAACATTTTTCAATATTTAACATTAAATTTTAAGTCCAATGTTTGCTCCAGAAATTTTGTTTTATAGAAACATTTTATCAGATTAAAGAAGTGCTCTGTTATGTTTCCTTAACTGAGAGTTTTTAATCATTGGTTGGTGTTAATTTTATTACTTATTTTACTTCATCTATTAAGATGATCATATGATTTTATTTTTGAGAATATCATTTTTTACCATTAATACTGCAAATTGTCTTGCTCTATTTTTCTTCTAGCTTTTTGATTTTAAAATATTTTAAATGTGTTTCTAGTTTCATTGAATACTTTTTACTGGAAATAATAACGAGAAAAGTACAAATATTCAGATTTAGGTATTTGGTACATATTTTCTCAAAAGAAGTGAAATGACCCTGTCACTTAAAAGGAAAAAAAACAGGAAATTTGGAAAATTTATATTTTTTTTACCCTCCCCCTTTTCTTTTTATTGAGTTTATTGGTAAAGTTTAGGTATACAGTATAGTTACATTCATTATTGGGATCTTGTAACTTTACATGACAGGTCTCAGTTCGCATTTTTTCCCCTTGTCCCTGCCCTCCCTTCACCTCCTCCTCCCCTCCACATTTACAAATACTTTATTTCCATTTTTTATCTTCTCATATTTTTGTCTTTTCCCTTATTCCCTTTCTCCGACTCTTCCCATTTTCCCTACGCCTTTAGCCCTTTTCTCCCTATTTCACATTGTTAATTATCTCATTAGGATCTTGTGTACTATTATAGTTTTTCACACCAGAGAAACTATTCGGTATTTACACATGTGTGATTTATTTATTTCACTTAGGAGTATATCCTCAAAATGTATCCATTTTCCTATGAATGAATCTAATTTCTCATTCTATATGGCTGAGTAGTATTCCATTTTATAGAGAAACCATATCTTCTTTATCCAGTTTCCAACTGATGGGCAAGTGGGCTGTTTCCAAGTTTTAGCTATTACAAACTGTACCGCTATAAACATAGGTGTGCATATATCACTGTGATATGATTCTTTTAATTTTTTTGGAAAGATATCCAGCAAAGGGATGGCTGGGTCAAATGGAACCTCTAGTCCCAGCTCTTTGAGGTATCTGCATATTGATTTCCATAGTGGTTGCACCAGTCTGCACTCCCACCAACAATGGAGAAGGGTCCCTTTCTCCCCACAACCCCACCGACATTTGTTATTGTGTGATTTCATGATAGTAGCCATTCTTTGTGGGGTGAGGTGAAATCTCAGTGTTATTTTCATCTGCATCTCTCGAATGACCAGTGATGTGGAACATTTTTCATATATCTACTTGCTGCTTTTACTTCTTTGTGGGAAATTTATATTTTTTTAAAATCAGCTTACCATTTTCTGAAAGCTTAAAGATGTATCCGATGAGATTTGTGGTAATATCAATGGGTATGTGTAAAATTTCTATATGGGGAATGTTTTGTACCCACCCAACCCTAGATTTCAAAATTTGAAATTCTCACCCCTTAGGAGGTGGTATTAAGAAACAGGGCCATTAGGGATGTAATTAGATAATAGGAAGAGGGTGCTCATGGTTGGAGCAAGAGGTTGCTAGGTACAGGGAAGAGCATGGGAGACTGGAGCCAGACAGAAATTGAGAGGGATTTTTAGAGACTAGGAAGGGTGCTGGGGACATGGGAATTGAAGAATAGAAGAGGGGCGATGGACACAATTAATGTATTATATATGCATGTATGGAAACATGCAGTTAACTCTATTAATTTGTACAATTAATATTATAACAGTTATAATATTTTTTTAAAGAGGCCTCAGCAAACTAGCCCATTCCACAGTGTGAGGACCAGAGATCATCTCAGAGAGAACCGGCTTCACCAAACACTGACTCTGCCAGTATATTTCACTTTGCACTTCTCAGCCTCAAGAACTCTAAGAAATAAGCTACACAGCTTAGGGTACTGTGTCACAGCAGCCTAAGCAGACCAGGTCAAAAAACAGTCAGAAAGTTTCAGCATTTCTAACTCATGCCTAACTCATTGGACTCATAGTTTTCAGATGACCAATATTTGACATTACAAGATCAGAGAGTAAAAAATTCACGCAAAGTGCCAGGGATACCAGTAGATTTTAGTGTAACAGTGGAAAAGGTTGTTGATGTGGTTTCAGATTCCACAATGTAAATACACTTTAAGAAGCTGCCACTTGTGAAAATCTGGCATAGATTCAAGAAGAATATCTACAGTTATTTTTCCTCTTCCTACTACATTACTGTGTCCAGCTGGGATTTCTTCAGCTTCAATGAGTCATAATGGATTGAAAGAATAAAACAGACAAAAAGAGAATCTAGCTGTCTTCAATTAATCTGAACAAAGAAATTTGAAAAACTGTAATATAAATACTATCTTTGCTATTTTCAAACTATAGTTCTTTCATTAAAAACATGTTATTTATGTTAATGTGAAATGAACATATTACTGCTATTTTTAAATAAATTAATAGATTTTTTCTTGTTTTTACTTTGTATATATTAAATATATCAATATATATTTAGGTTACATACACAAAGGAGCTTTACATTTCTCAATAATTTTTAAGACTGTTAGTAGGACATAATATCAAAAATTTGAGAGAGCTGCCCTAGGTTAATGGAGGTATACTGTTTATTGATACATTTTGCCTTTTTCTCTGACAATATAAATGACAAAATCAAGTATTAACCTCCCCAAATTATATGCTATTTTATGACCATTCTATTTCTCAAACACCTTCTTTGTTTTTATGAAGCTTCAATGTGGTATATTTGGATGTGGATTTATTTTTATTTTTTTTGCTTGGGAGTCAGTGAGCCTTTTAAATTCTAGGGTTCTCATAAATTCTGAAAAATTCTCTTCCACTATCTTCTATCCATTATATTTCTCTATCCCTCTTTTTGAGATTTCAAATTAATGTTTTGTAGACCTTGCCAATGTATTCTTTTAGTTTCTTTACCCTATTTTTTTTAAAATCCCATATTTCATTCTGAACATTTGCGTCTATCTTCTCTTAATTCTTTCTGTAGCTTTATCTAATTTGCTATCAAATCTGTTTAGTGAGGTCTTCATTTCATGTATATTTATCAATTCTAGAACTTCTAAGTGTTTCTTTCACATATCTGCTCATCACTTTTCATAATTTTCATTTCATTGCCAAAATTTTCACTTATGTTTCATCTCCTTGAAGGTAATGAATATTGTTGTTTTAGTCTAGGTCCTGTAATGAGTTCTTCTGTGGCTACTTTTGTTGGTTTTCTCCAATGGTGTTTTGCCTCTACATGTGTCTGAGGTTTTTGTGCATCAGGTGTTGTACTTGAAAATTTATATGTAACAATGATTTGAAGCCTAGTATGAAACTTTTCACCAGAGAAGATATTCTTTTGGTTTTTCAAGTGTCTAAGTCATTAGAGAAGTTCAGATCTCCACTTCACAGGAAATAGGATGATAGATTTTATAGATTGGTTTACTTCTAATTCAGAATTAATTTTAAAATACATCTTGGAACTCTAGTTGAAAGTCGATGTTTATATCCTCTTGTTGGCCTCTAGATTCTGATTTCTGTGGGCTCAGTCACCTTCGGGGAAACAAAACTCAGCTACTCCTTTGGGAATAGAATAACACCCCATGTGCAAAAGTGGTCCTTAGAGTTAGTGAGATCCTCTTTCCCAGGCTGATAACACTTTACCATTTTGTTAGCACTTTGAGGCTTTTTAAGAGGTAATTTATAGGGCTGGGGATTTAGCTCAGTGGTTCGGTGGCCTGCCTCGCAAGCTCAAGGACCTGAGTTTGATCCCCGGTACCACAAAAAAAAAAATAAATAAAATAAATAAATTAATTAGAAAAGAGATAATTTATATATTTTTCTCCAACTTTTTGAGTCATGATTCATCTGAATTTTTTTATTGAAGCAAAAGTTTTTCTGATGGTACTTTTTGTTGTTGTTGTTTGTTTTTGCCATAATGAAGTTGAATATCTTCTCTACTTTGGTTTTGTATTTCAGAACTAGAAGGAGTAAAGTTATGTGATAGATTTTCTTCTAAAGCCTGCTACATTTTCCTCCTTATTCGAAAAATGAGCCTAGTCTTAGGGTACACCATATAAAATATCTCTTCTTGTCTCTAAAATATGTACATAACCTCACTAAGGCACTCAGACTTACCACTTTCATGCTTCATTTGCTCTCCACTTGCAGCCCTGAATCTGTATCTCCCCATACCTGTGGTTGTGTGTCAGCTTCAGACTCTGAGTACACAGTTCTCCATAATCCTCAGCCTCAGATCCCACTGACCATCTTCTTTCTTTATCCCTTCCTCTGTGCTCCTAGCATTGTTGGAAAGAATATATCATCTTACAGTAGGTTCTTTAGTCATCTGTAGCTTCTAAATCCCAACTAAGGAATTAGGGACTACCCTCTTTATTCTTAACTCCCTTGTTCAAAATAATTTCTTTCTCAAAAGTTCGTCTTCCTCTGAGGCCCACTTACCTGAAGCCTACCCTTAACCTCTAAATATTCTCTCAACAATTAACCCTTGCCACACATGCTTTATGGACAGCTAAGAGAACCTGGAGTAAAACTCTAGTTGCAATCCCCTCTTGTAAGGCCATTAGTTTCTCCTCTCATTCTTAGTTTGGTTTTTTTTTCAGTGTCATCAGAAGATCTCATGAGAACCCAACCTTTGCAAAGTGTACCTATCCCACTACTCTCCTGATTCACCGAGTATCATCTTTCATGTCTTCTCATTCTACCAGGAGAACCTTCTCTGATCTTCTCACTTACTCCATCCCTACCAACTCCTCCCACTCAAAAGACACTAAAGCATCGTGCAGCTAGAAACAAAACAAAAATCATATAGAATGAATGTTAATAAATGTTCATTTTGTCATTTGCCTTGCATGTGGATAGGAATTCTACATGAAGAGAATTTATAACATAACCTGATTTTCCTTGCTTCCAAAGCAAATTCTACTGAGTAGAAAGAGCAAAATTCTCATGCTGTATAATTAACAATGACTTTTAGGAAAGAAAATTTTTCACACTTAGCAGTACATGTAAACTCTCAGTATCTTCTCCGTTTCCTCTTCAAAATTTCTGACTCTAGGGCTTCATGAGTAACTGCTGATTGTAAATCTCATAGTATTTGAAGGTTAGTTAGGAGGATTTCTTACCCCAGCATCTTCCCTACTCAAGTCCCCAGAAATCCAAATTTAGCTTTTTTTTTTTCCATCTTCTTGGTCAAAGAGTATGGTCTTTTTTTTTTTTTTATCATTGCTAATTCCTCTAGAATGTTCCTCAAATCCAATGTTCACTAGAATTAATGTACAGGTGCCACCCTGAAAGATTGTCTGCTTCATTTGATCCAAGGTGTCGCCCTATAATTATTATTTATAAGAGATTTCCTGACATTACAGTGTGCAACTAGTTGAGAAATGCATCTTTCATTAAGTAACATTATGGCACTAGTACCGCAGCACACATGGAATAGATTCTATTGCTTTCTTTATACAACATAGCTGGACTGTATGTTAGTAGCAGGTCCGGAGATTATCTTTTGAAAGGAGATGAAAACGATCCAGAGGTCAAAAGGTAACTTTGATCATGTCATAATTGTGAGAGTAGAATGTGACTTATCTACATTATTCACATCCAAGGAGGAAAACTCCTTTTTGATGTGAGAAGATGTTTTTTTGCCTCGCAGTCTAGAGAAGGCAAGCTGCTCTCCTTTGGCACACCTCCATGATTACACAGATCTGTTCCCTCAAGAAACTTCCAAATAAAGGGAACATATCATCTGTGGCAACAGAGAAGCATAGCTTTATGGTGCCTGTTGTAGAATTATGTCCTTACATTAACATTTTTACACACCCTCATATTACGTTTTATGCTTAGATAGAATGCCACCAGGTAGAAACCAAAGTAAATGCCATATCCCAAATCTGCAGAGAATCAGAGCCAAAGAGTGGGCATTTTTATGTGCAGTTACTTGTAGTGTGTGACTTATACATACCACTTCTGAAAGCTGCATTACATGGAAGACACTGGTGTGTAGTAGGGCAAAGTAGTACATGTACCGGCTGGCTTGGCTGAACTGTGTGGATTTCTCTCTGGAGCAGTCTTCGCAATCCTTTGTGCACAGCTAGAGGTCTGCTGAAAGTGACTCAGTGTAGATGAAAACAGCTTGCTTAATCATTCCTGAAACACGGGAAAAATTAAAATACATTTTTTCTTTGTCAAGCAATAAAAACAATGCCAGATTGTTAATGCCTCTTTTGTACCTTTCACTTGAAAGACCTCAAAAGAACATCAAGGAGACGAAAGGCAAAATCTGTTCCCCAGTGGCATCGTTATACACGGTGAAGCCTCTAAAAGTAAAACTCTTAAGACATTCAGGAAGAGGAGTGGAGTAAATGACAGCAAGCTGAAGAGTGTCTCTGGAGCTTTCTTCAGCCTTCTTTGTTCAAATTCATTCAAATTGGATGATGAAAAGCAAAGATCTCATTTGTTTCAACATTAAAGTAGTAAATTAGTGAGTGGTGAGCTGCTAATTGTCCTGTGAGGCATTTAAGGAACCTGGAGTGCCCCATAGCCGATTTCTTAAATTGCATTTTACGGTTGAAATGAAAGCAAGCATTAGAGTAGTGTAAAACAATGTTTTTAATAATTTAGGCTAGTTCGATTCAAACATGATTTTTGTTCTGAAATATTTATCGAAGCTCCTGTTTTTATTTGAGACGAGCAAGTTTCATTTTAGATTTCAAGGCATCAAATGGAAATTCATTTTCAGTATGGGAGTGAGGTAAGGAGAGAGATTAGTCATCCAGTGTGGTGTTCCATCTCTGCCTACTTCCTCTTGCCTCTAGAAAACAGAATTAAGAGGTTTGGTTAAATTTTAGATTTTTGGTGACCTTTTATAATCCTGACTGTTCATAATTTAATGCCTTGACCTTCCTTTCCCACAGAGCCACCTTGGGGATAAATGCAGAACTTTAATAACTAGAACGAGTTGACAGGTGACCTTTTGTAACATAGCAGGTTCTCTTTGCTAGGGAAATCACACTATTTTGTAAGTATTATTTCACAGATTTTAATTGTCCATTCTATTGTCTATTCAGCTTATTCAGGGAGACAAAAGTAAAGGTTTAATATTTTACTCTTCTTACTAATTAAAATGTAAAGTGCTTGGCAGTTTTCCCAATACATCCCTCAAAAAAGGATAGGGCCACTTCTCAGGTTTATACTGCAAGAAGCTTGTGGGGGTGGGCATTGTCCTGGTTGGTTGGTAAGGGACAGTATGGGAACTGGCATTGGAGAGTGACCTGTCCTGTCCGCCGGTGGAAGGTAGCCAAGTGTGTTGGACTGTGTATGGGGGGTGTGGACTTAGAAGAGCCACCAAGGATTATTTAACTGTATGTACACTGAAGAAAAGAGAAAACTGACTCAGCGAGAGGTGAGACTCAATAAACAGTGAATGACATATTAATTCTCTCCCTCCTCCATCCTCTCCTTCCCTCTTCCAGGAAAGGATCAGTTGAGAATATCGTGCTAAATTGATTTTCAGAATCTGCATACATAATACATATTGTTTAAACACAAGGAAATAAAGCTAACAAATTATACAGATGCCACAGGCTCTTACAAAGAGATAAGAAGCGTATGTGTCTATCCACACCTTTCCTCCCATCCATAAGATCAGAGAGCATAGGACCTTCACAGGGAATTAATTCCCTGGTGCTTACATTCTTTTGCATTTTAAAGAACAGAATTCATTTTTGTGCCAAATATTCATGCTTATAATGAGATATAAATCAAAATACGCAGAGTGTAAAAAGACCTGTAGTGTGAATAGAGTATGCCAATGTCTCTCAGGTCTTCTTAAGCACAGAGGAGAGGATTCAGGAGTTAAGAGAACACCATGACAGGCTCAGGCTAACCTCATTCCCAAGCACTTGAAACAGCCAGTGTGGGTTTCTAAGGCAAATGCTCCTCAAGTAGGCCTTCAGGCTAGGGCAGGATTTCCCTTTAGCTGTGGAGCCCAGCTTTGAAAACTGCATCATCTGCCATGATCTTTTTCCCTAGCAGACATTGGCAGTCATCATTAACTGCTTGAGAAAGGAATGTAACTCCCTGCTGTTGTGAAAGAAACAGTTTGAAAAGCAAATTAAGTAAGCAGATGTGAAGGACCATTTAAATACTAATAAAATTTGGGGGATTAGTTTATCTCAGACTGAAATTTCAGCCATACATATTAGAAACTGAAAGCATGAAGAGAATTTCCACATACTTTCTTATGCTATACCTGTATTATTGCCAGCAAGCTTGCCTGGGTCTCGTGAGAATCTTAGTTTTCCTGTGAGACTCTTCATCAGGGAAGGACTTTGTCCTATTTGGTGACTTCCTGGCTAGCAGCATGTTTAAAAGCACTAATTTATAATTTATTATAATCAATTACTATATAAATGTACCATATAATCTATAGTAAATTATAAATTATTATAATTATTATAGGCAATGTAATATGATACTGGGTAATATTTGAAGTATTTAGACAGGTATATTAAGAATATTGAAAGTTAGTCATCAGTATATCTTCAATACACCCATATCTTACCTCTATTATGAATGCATTTCATGAGTGATAATATATGCTCCTCCTTTTAACCTGAAGCATACCTAGTATCCACTTGACATCATGTTTACCTGAATTTCTTTAACTCTATAATGCAGAATAAAGATTAACTGAAAATTTATTTTTGAAATTAAGTGAGATAATGTCAGAAAATGCTGCACAGGGTAACCAACCCATATCAGGCATTCAGCCTTGTATATAATGACTATGATGTACTGTGCTTAAGTCTCTCCCAGAGCATTTTTTCCCTTGCTCTCTCTGTCATCCTACTTCACAGCCCACCGTCAGGGACTCATTTTTACTTGCATGGTGAAAAATGTCAAGACTCATTTTAGCAAAGAAATGCCTTGTTTTTAAGATAGTCCCTTAGCCCTCTAAAACAGCATAAAAGTTGACCCTTGGTTGAACACGCAATATCCTCTTCACTTCTCAGAGCTGTACTCTGAGATTAAAGTTCACCTTGATAAGATTTTTAAACTATTTTGCCCTTCATAGTGCTTTATACAGAACAGGTAGTAAATAAAAATTACCAGGATGTTCCGTGGATATCACCAAATTCTTAATTCTCCAAGCTAAGTGTTTATAACCAAAACAGAGGAGAAAAAACACCCATAACAAATATAAAGCTGTGACCATAAAAAAATCAATATTTTAGATCTGGAATAAGAGGAAGTATTTGACATTTGTGGGCTTTCTTTGACAGGAACATAGCTGCCCAGAACAGGCTGACTGAATATTTGTAGGCCTCTTTTTCTCCTTTACAGACACAGCCCAAGCCCAACTAGAGTGTTTTGAAACACGTTTTGTGTATAAGACAGAATAAAGAGGACCGATTTTAAAAGGAAAGTAAGCAAAAAACAGAGAGAATGCAACAAAAAGGAAAATTCTAAATTAAGATAGAGCTTGATAAATCGAAAGCAGATAAACCTTAACAAAGGTGCAGAAAATCCAGATCTTCCATCTAGAAGAGTAACTACCTACTGAAGCAGATGTAAGCCACAGGAGAACTATGGACTAAAGACTCAAGCAAGCCCCTGAATCGAATAGGATAAATGAGTTGAAGAAACAGCAGTATATCTTAACAAAGAAAGTTGAGATCAACAGATGTAACAATAAAGCTAATAAAAGAAACTGGGATACCCAGATAAAGCAGTTCTTAGGTCAAACTATCCATTCATGCCCAGCTAGCTCTTTCTTTTTATCATGGCTTATGAAATTTGAAGGTGCTTTCAAACTTACGCATATATCCCCTGAGTCCTCAACAGCTCTTCTTCTGGGCAGAAGCTAGCGATTGGGAAATGTTTCATTCACTGGACCCTGCGCCCCACCGTACTTTAAAATATGGTGCCCGTAGCTCAGTGGTAAATAGAACAGGCCTCCTGTGCAGGCGTGTCCCCTGGGGCCTCATTCAGGGACTCAGCAGCCAGGCAGTGTTGTGACCAAATATACACATGCAAGTCGTTTAAGACACTAACCATCATGACGGTGTGGCCTAGGGAACAGCAAGAAGAAGGGAGGCAATTTAAAGATCACCATCTATACCCCCAAAGCCATCGCAGTTATAGCACTCTTCCCTGTTACATATTTGTCACATAAACAAGAGACTGTTCCCATCATTTGCCCTCGAGTTGTTAGTCAGCTGCTGACCTCATAATCAGCACAGCTGCCGCGACCCAATATGTTGTCATGAAACAGATTGTGATGTCTTAATTGATCACTTTCAGAGGTTACAGTTGTCAAGTGAGACCACTATGCTAATTCTTATTAGTTAAATTAAAGCTTGTTACCCGCAGGACTGGCTAATTCACTCTAATGACTGGGAAATCCAATACAAATTGCCACATTGTAGAGAATACATCCCAGGCTCTTTCTTTCTTATTTTTTGGTTTTTTTCAATTTGTGGAGGGTCTATCCCCTGCGTTTTTAATATCCAATGAAGCAACTTTTTGCGCTGGTGAATGGAATGTATCCTCTTTGCACAATACACACCTGACTGATAAATTGGAGTGTGCCATCTGATACACACACGATTTAAATTAGGCATTGATTTGCGTGACAGAGAGCTTGAAGGATTCAGCTGTGTATAATGGATGTCACCAGCTGCCTGGCTGGAAGAATACTGTGTTCTTCCTTATTTCCTAAAAGGATGTAGGATCCTGACACTGGGCATGGTGACACACGCCTGTAATCCCAGCACTCAGGAGGCTGAGGCAGGAGGAGCACTGTGAGTTCAAGACCAGCCTGGGTGACATAGTGAGTTCCAGGTCAGTCTCAACTACATAGTGAGACCCTGTCTCAAAAAAAAAAGATCCTAAATGGGTAAGCAAGGGTCTTAGGTCAATGCTGGACCCTAAAAGGCATGGTCAGGTGCCTCCATTTGCCTTCACAATGGCATTAAATTTTAAAATCCCATTTCCAAGTGTCCTAATATAGTCAGCCGCCTTGAGGGGCATCATTCTAACTGCGGACCAGGACCTCTTGCGACTTCCCTTGCTTCCGAATCCTTACTGCGTTAGAGGTGACAGGCAGCGCCTTCCACAGCAGAGCCTTAAGACACCTTAGAAACAGACCTTCACAGGTTCTGCAAATCTGGTTTTCTGAAATTCTTAATTTTGGCAACACAAATTAACAGATGCCTTTTTTCAGCCTAGGATATTTTGTAGGAACACAATAAAGACTAAATCAACGAAGCAAGTTTTAATGAACAGATAATCACAATTTCTAAAATACATCAGGAAGGAAAAGGATGTTTATCAAAACATTTTCATAGTGTAAAAAAGAGATCATAGCTAAATGCCCAAGAGTAGGGGAGTAGATGCATTACACTATAGCCATATAACAGAATAAGGAGCAGATGTTAAAACCCTCTCTAAAGACTGTTTAGGGGGAACTAACTTTATTAATGATGTGAAAAGCGAAAGGTATGAAATAAAGTGCAAAACCAATGTTGTCAAATTTTACATGTGATTTCTCAAGCTGCCTAAAATGATATATGCAAAACCAGGAAAAATACAGTGAGATATTTGTAATGGTCATTGAGTGATGGAAATATGGAGAGTTATTAGTCTTCTTTTTCCTCGTTTTTAGAATTCTTCACCTTTGAGTAGTTTTGTTCTAACACCTGATGCAATGGTCCCTCTTTTGAGTGCAAGGCACCTCAGATCTACCTGGAGCCTGGCGTGGTGGTGCATACCTGTAATCTCAGCCCTCATAGTGGCTGAGGCGGGAGGATCACAAGTTTGAGCTCAGCCTAGGCCACCTTGAGACTCTGTCTAAAAAAAAAAAAGAAAAAAAAAGAGTTGGTGATGTAGCTCAGCGCAAAGGCCTTGAGTTCAGTCCCCAATACAACAACAGCAACAACAAGAAAAACCTTTTAACCGGTCTCCTAACCCTGGTCCTGCCTCCTGAGGGTCACCCCACTCTTCTCAGCGGCAGGAAGCCCCCGTCTTCTGTTTACATAATTATGCTAAAAGCCTGAAGTTATCTTGGGTGCCTCTCTTGCACGCTCCACTTTGGGCTTTTGACCCACAGGCCAGCCCATCCACCCATTCTCCAGAACACACCCACCGTGTGACCAGCTGCCCTCCACCTTCTTTGCTGGCTACCGTGTCCCCAGCCACCATCTCCTCTGGCTCGTGTTGGAGCAGTAGCCTCTCCTTTCCCTGTTTCAGCCCTTGCCTCTTTTTCACTAGCTTTCTACACAGCAGCTAAAGCTGTTCAAGAAGAACTCAGATCAGTCACTCCTCTGGCTCAGCCTCCTCCTGGCACAAGTCAGATGACCCGAATGATCCTCACCTGCGGTGTCTCTGGCCTCAGCAGCTACTTGCTGCCATCACTGGCTTTGCTGTTCCTGTTATCTTCCTCGAGTGTTTGCCCAAATATCCACACACTTCACACACACACACACACACACACACACACACACACACACACACTTCCTAACTGCCTCCCTCGATTATGTTTTCAGTGCAAAACTGATAACCCTTTCATATATCATCATATTATATAGGTTGCTGACCTATTTATTTTATTTCCCCGAATTGAATGCATGCTGTCATATGGCAGGAGTGTTCTTTATAATTTTTGTCACTGAATGCTAACTGCTGGGATTGTGCCTGCTAGGTAGTGGGTGCTCAGTAACACCAGCAAGCGCCTGCCCTAGACAGCAGAGGTGATGTCACCGCTGTGTGTGGACTGTTCTGGGGAGCCTTCTGAGTTACTCATTCCTCAGTCACCACCCAGATTGTGACACCTAGACTGAACCTGCGGCAAATACATCTGTTTCTTCTGGATGCTTTTTTCCTTTCATCTAAGTCAACAATTCTAAATTAATTTGAAACGTCCATTTTTTCCCCTAGTATTAAGCTGAATGCTCAGATTCCTAATAAACTAATTTGATTTCTTTCATTTTTTAAAATTTAAGCCAAATGGGTACCTAATGTATTCCAGGCACTTCTGGAGGGTGGGGTTAAAATGAAGATAGACCTACTCTTAAGAACTATCTAGTGGACAGTCATAATTAAACAATAACATGTAACATAACAAGTAAGGTAAGGACAGGACCTTGTGAGAGGGGCTACTCCCAATAGGCATAATAAAAATTCAGGATCAAAATGTGGAATTTCGTAGAAGAAAAAGATAGATATCTACAAAGCCATGTTTCTTTATCAGTGTTGAAAATAAGATGAATTCTTCAAGCGAGAAGCAGCAAAAGTAATTAACATGACTGTTCTAGGAGGAAAGCAGGCAACAATGAAAAGTACAGTGGGTTTACCATTTAAAAAATCTAGATTTGAATCTGCCACTGCAACTTAATCATTTGCAAGTCCAGAAAGCAAATGTTTTACTCATAGGTGTTCTTGTTCCTCCATGATTAAAAAAATATAGTACAATGGAGTTAAACTAGGCATAGAGATCATCTGTGTACACATCTTCCTTTAGTTTTAAAAGAGGACTTTCCTTACCCATCTAGAATAAAAGCACCGAAGCCAATTAACATGGTGACTTGCAGGAAATTTTTAAAAATCTGTAGAGTATTTTGCCAGCCTTATGCAGTTCTGTGTTCTGAAAACCTTCAGAACCCCCATTGTCTGTTGAACTCCATATTTTTATCAGCATCTTACCTTACCATGCGCACATCTAACTAAAATACAGAATTGATATCTGAATACAGTTCTTAATTTCTTTTATAGCTACCAGCCTTATTAGGGAGAGCAATTCTTTACATATCTCCTTATTTTGCTTGAAGTTACAGTTGTAAAGTTTTTTAAAAATAATCATTTACAATGGAAAACAAATGACTAGTTGCCCATACAATTTGATACTGCCACACAACAATACAGAAATTTAAATGATTTTGAATGGTATATATTTACTTTCACAGTGGAAGCATGCTACTGTCTAAATAACCTATATCAGAGACTATAGGATTAGCATATATGTTTCAGAAATAATTCTATATTCAGCAGTTAGGCAAGGTCCACATTTTGTTTTCCCAGAAGAGTTTGTTCGAAGGGGTGAAACTCACCACTTACCTTCTTCCTCTTTCTGTTTTTCAGCCATTACAACTAGACTGTGACCTGTGTGCTATCGTGTCAAACTCAGGGCAGATGGTTGGACAGAAGGTGGGGAATGAGATAGACAGGTCTTCCTGCATCTGGAGGATGAACAACGCCCCCACCAAGGGTTATGAAGAAGATGTTGGCCGCATGACGATGATTCGAGTTGTTTCCCATACCAGTGTTCCTCTTTTGCTAAAAAACCCTGACTATTTTTTCAAGGAAGCAAACACTACTATTTATGTTATTTGGGGTCCTTTCCGCAATATGAGGAAGGATGGCAATGGAATGGTTTACAACTTGCTGAAAAAGACAGTTGATGTCTATCCAAATGCCCAAATTTATGTGACCACAGAGAAGCGCATGAGTTACTGTGATGGGATTTTTAAGAAGGAAACTGGAAAAGACAGGTAAGCCCTCTCTGAAGCTACTTTATTGTCTTTTAAGCTCAATCTTTGTTCAATGCTTTTGCCAGCTATCAAATGAACAGAGTTACTTTTTAAACTGATTGATACATGTTTTTGACTATTATGATTACTTGATGAGCCAGCAACTAGGTCCCCTTAATTCCACCTACACTACCTTCTGTTCTTTCCATTTTAATTGGTGCAGAGCTCCAAGAAATGCTGGGTGCTTTTCCAAGGTATCTTTAGATCTTTTCTTATTTGCTATTGGTTAAATTGGATTTCAGCTGAAAGAGGAAGCCTACACGTTTCTGTTTCAAAATATGGAAATCTTAAGCAACTTCAGGCTAAAGTGTTGACCTAAACTCCTCTAGAAATTGTGGCAAAATTATTTTATCTGAGGCTACAAACGGAAGAGGCTATTGATTCCCTCCAAAGATTGCAAAGCTTCTTGTGCAAAAATAGACCCTGTGATCTTGAATACCCTAACTTGGTTCCTGACATGTTAAGTAAAATATCATATTGGAATTATGCATTACTTAAAATCATTAGCAGTTGGATTCTTGAAGGAAAATGAAGTATAAATATCTTCCACTCAATTATCCAAAAACCAATTTGCATTTTTTATTATATCCATGTTTTTCTCCAACATTCTGTGAGCCACTCCTCCGCTTCCTGTTCTCCAGGCCTGCTCGCCTCATTTTTCCCCTCCCCTGCTTTCTCCTGTTTCCTCCCTTGGCTGAATTTTGAGCCCTCTTTTCTTTCCCCCTTTTTTCCTCTTTAGAAAGATAACCAGTGGAGAGAATTACTACTCAGTCACTCTTGATGCATACCTTCAGCTCTAATAAGAAATTGCTAAAGGAAGACACTGAAACCAGTGGCTAACGTTTTAAATTATCTGTGATAATCAAGTATGATTCCAATATTCTGACTCCCTCAAAGTATATTCAGTATTATCAAATCTAAAGTTTTAGCTATGTTACCTTATCATTTTGAGGAGGAGGAGAAGTTTCTGGTGTCTTCAGGTATAATTTCAGTGCTGGTTTTTATTTAAAATATTTGGTAAACCATCTCTCTCCTATTGCTAATGTGGGTTGATTTGAATTGAGCATTTTCTACTTCTGGGCAACAAAGTGCACAATTTTATAAAAAATGCACTATGGAGAAAGCTATACGAGGGATCCATTCTACTATTAAAGCTAGGGAGAAGAATCTCAAAGGTTAGATTTGGATCCTTGTGGCATAAGCTGTCTGAAGAGGAGGCAGTAGAGTGAAAGGGAGTAGTAGGTCTGGTACTTCAAAGAAATTCACTCCTGTAGCTCATTCCATATTAATGGACTGTTCTCAAGGGGCTTTGGAACCCTCAGGTCTCTCACTAGCCCAGAGCAATGCAATTAATTAGATATATTTGGTTTTTCATTAGAGTTGCCCCTCAGGGCATCCTCCAGTCATAAGTACAAGCCCTAGACTCATCTGGGGTATCAGAGACGAGTCTCATGTGAGCCTCGTGTCGTGTTTGTTCCTATGTGTTAACATCATGTTGGCTTCTGCTGTGAGCTTTTTATGAGACTACACTGTCACAGATGTGCAGATTGTACAGGAACTGAGAGAGAACAGCTTTGGGAGAGTGTTTTCCTACGGGCTGTGATGAAAAAAGTTGTTCGCATAGTGGGAAAATTACTTGGCAAATTCGCTCATTTGGTCAACTTCATTTGAAAGTATCATTTGCTTGGTAGAATTACCCGAGAAGTTTTCTTGAAGGTCAAAATAATTTTATGATGAATATTTGATTTTTTCCCCCACGGAGTCCATTGTTGTGTGGTTGCTTCACTGAGCACTATAACTAGACACCTCCTCATCCACTTCTTATTCTTCCACCTCTTCCTCCTCCCCCTTCTCCTCCTCCATCTTCCCCTCCCTTTTCCTTTCTATTCTTAAAGAAACCTAGTTGTCCACCTTATAGTATTTTCTACAATCTAAATTTGCTAATTACAATTCCATGACATTCTTCTATGTCAGGATTTCTGTATTGATGTGTGATTCCATTCAGTTCCAGTACTTTGCCAAATCCTTTAAATTGGTCTACCAAGTCTATCCAGAGGAATAATGTCTGGTTGTCCCTCTTACTACTAAAATAACTGCTAAAAATCATTGTCCAAACTCAGTAATTTGTTATGGCTGCACAGTGGTGGTATTTCATCATTGTCTTCTCATTTATCAGCTGATATACTTCATAAAGAGAAGCTTGCCTCCATTAACCACTTGGTTGCTATGAGATAGAAGACAGCACCAGTCTCTTCTGTGATTGCTAGTTTTTATGCATCAGATCCCTAGCATTTTCCAGTGATGACATAGAAGTTTATTATTATCAATATTTAGTTGTTGACTTAAAGAGTTTAACATATTTGAAATATGGTATTTCAATTCGTTAAAGTTTTATCCTCCTGTTCAAATGGTCTTATTTTATCTGATGAGAATCTCTTCACATTGGCTCCGAGTCATTTTGCTGTCCCTCAGCCGTCTGGGATAGCTTCAGACCCTTCTGAACATACCCTAATGCGGATCTAAATTCAGACAGCTTTCCAAAGGGTCTTGTAGGAGCAGGAAGGGCGTGATTTCAGCTCTATGCTTTGGTCTTTGTTTCTTGGACTCTTTCAGGAGGCAGTTAGAATATGACCAATGTGACATAATAAAACTATAATTTAAATAATTATAAATATAAAGTTTGAGTTCAAAACGAAGCTTTAAAGTCAAGCTCAGCATCTCCATGTCTTTATTGTAACTCATCTGCTTTCTGCTTCCTCTTTTGACCATGCTGGCAACCCTGGGTCTCAGAGACACCCTTGCCACCATTTGTCTGCTTTATCCCACAACATGTACATCATAATCTTGGAACAAGAAGGATAGCACAATAAGCCGCGTGATTACTGCCAACATTCTAGGACTGTTTCGCATCGAAGAAGATATTTGAGTGGCAGGCATTCGTGTAGGTCTTACTCCCAAAGTGTGTGCTCGTCAAATCCCCCAAAAGTTTCTAACAGTTCCCTCTTATGTCACCTGGTGAAGATCGCCACAAGAATGAGTAGGAAAGGAGGAGTGTGCACTTCGTTTCACTTTTGTTATAAAGTGATTTTGCGTGGTTTCTCTGCACTCCTTGGAATCTCTCCACAGAAGCTCATTTTTACCATCAAGTTTTTAATGTGGAGGTTCTGTCACCATTAGTATGTATAATTTATAGAATTAAAAAACTTTTTATGTCAGTAGCAATTGTCATGATAGAAAGTTGATTGGCTGGAGCTCCTCAAAGAAAATTTTTCTTCTCAGCTTGCTTCTTAAAATTGTCAAAATCTTTTTTAAAAAATATAACCTTCCCATCTAAGGTCAGCATCTTTCCATTTTTCCAGGGGTTTAATTTTTGTCCTAAGGGATTCCTGACTGAGGAAATGTAAAGTAGTAGAAGAAATGTGTACACTTCAACTTCTTAGAATAGATCTGGATCAGCTCGTGACTATATTTATAGGGATTTGCAAGCCAAATGAAATTTGATTTATTTTATTAGTTACTGCCCATAATTATTCAACTTGTCTACTAGGATGAGCTTGTGAGGAAAGTGGACAGAGCCGAGAGAGCAGGCTGATGCCCCCCGCCTTACCTATTCAGACCCAGTTTCCTTTGGAATTCTAGGTAGGTCCTTTGGCCACCTTTATGGCTTCACTTACAGAATACATTTCTGGAAAACAAGAATTTAAAAATTCTATAGAAATCTTTGAAATGAAAGATCTTTTATTCAAAACAGTCTTACCAAAATGAATCATTTTCCCCCTTTGCATGATTGGTATGCATACGTCATAGTAGCCTGCTGACATTTACACATCTGCATTAATACAACTTAAGGCGGAAACACCCTAGAGGTGCCATGGGGCTGACAGTAGCACATGGTACAACGCTCAACACTGAAGAATGTGATGATGTGCCTGGGACATAGGGATGCAAAAGGAATGTTAAGTTTTCTGGAGAATCAGTAGAGAGCCAACAGGAGATGCTCTGCTTACCTATGGGGAGGTGGGCAACTGCGGCTCACGTGCCACTTTTGAGATATGTTGGCAAATACGGGGCTTGTTTTTAATTAAGTAACAATTGAGAAAGCTATAGTCACCATTACCAGAGCAAAGCTAATTCTATGCTGATCAAAGAGCCTGAACTGCCCTAAATAGGTCTTAATTAGCTGACATCAGTGTGGCTCCGCCTTCAGGGATGGATAACATTAATGAACACTAGCAGCAAGTAGATCAGTGTTTCAAGATGTTCCTGCCTCAGGTGAAGAAGGTGAGAAGAAAGAATCGCTTTTAAGGATTGTTTAGAAAGCGAGATGCACAGAAGTCATTCCCAGAAAGCACTGATGAAATAGTACACTGTTTTGTAAATATCGAAGTCTCTACCTGGTTCATCTTTGTCAGTGGCTCCATCCTTTCCCACTCAATCTTAAAGAGAGAAAAAGAAATCAGCAATGTGTCATTCCTCACCGCGGATGCTAGTGACAGTTTTATAATCTAGCAGGGGTATTAGGTGCAGCCCAGGTTTCACAATTTCAGGTTGGCCATTTTGAAAGTTTTCTCAGGCCACTGGATGATTGACTGTAGGGATTAAATTGGCTCACATCCCTTAGGTTTGCAGCCTTAGTAGCTTCTAGGGTAGGAAGGAGAATTTAGGAACTCTTGTGAACTTCTGTCGGCATACTTGGAAAGCTGCCTCAAAAACACACTGCAGGAAGAAAGGGCACAAAGAAAACCCCAAAACCACATAACTATGCCAGTCCCAAGAGTCAGTCACAAGGCAGAAAAACATCCCCCCTCTCCCCCCAAAATACTATTTGCTATACATAGACTCCAAATAAAAAGACGTCTCATTATTCCTATCTCCAATAAACAGCTCCTGACCCCAGGAAAACCTGTATCAAGAGAAAATAAGCACGGTAGAAAAAGTCTTAGGTTCAAGAGACAGGCACA